CCCCAGCCTCCGGGTCCTTTCTGCACCGCAACGCTGTGCCAAGGCATCCGGGAAATTAATACCGAAGAAAAATGCAGCTGGACGGGTTGGGCATAGGTGACTCCTGGAGGAAAGCAATTGCAGGAGCTTCTGAGCCCCCTCAGCCCAGCCTTCCTCCAGAAGGAGACTCGGGCTGCTCTCCTGCAAGCCCGGAGCTCCCTGCAACGCCTGCCTCAACTTGCTCTTGCTCCCGCAGCCCACGGAGACCGAGCGCTGCATCGAGTCCCTGCTGGCCGTCTTCCAGCGGTACGCGGGGCGCGAAGGGGACAACTGCACGCTCTCCAAGAGGGAGTTCCTGGCCTTCATGAACACCGAGCTGGCTGCCTTCACGAAGGTGAGCAAAATCCAGGCCAGAAGAGTCTCCCGTAGCGTGCGCTGCAGCCCCCGGGACGGCAATTAAAGCCTCTGCCCGCGCAAGCGCCGCGGGGAAGGCAATGGGAAGAGCTCCCTCCCAGCAGAAGCCAGAGCGTGGCCTCACAAGAGTCAGCCTGACCAAATTCTGCCTCCCTCTGCCAATCCCTCTCCGCTGGCGATGGATTCGGCAGCTGGGGCTCCGTACCTGGGGCTGGGGGGTTCAGCCAGGGGCGCCTTTGCCTCGAGGCAGGCAGACATCGATTCCCATCTCTTTGGTCTTTTGCAGAACCAGAAGGACCCAGGTGTCGTGGACAGGATGATGAAGAAACTCGATTTGAATAGCGACGGGCAGCTAGACTTCCAGGAGTTCCTGAACCTCATCGGGGGCATTGCGGTGGCCTGCCACAACTCCCTGGTTGTCAGTACCCCTCGCCCCTAGCCCCGGCTGCTGGGTCTCCCCCACCGCCACAAACATTCCTCAAACAAGACCGACGCAGAGCTGGAAGCAGTGCCCTTCAGATGACAACATCCCCATTCCTCATTTTTATGTATAAAATAAAAGGTTTAAAACCCTAGTGTAAGGCATGGTTTTATTTCAGCATCATGAGGGAGGAGAAAGCGCTAGGAAAGCGGCCTGGCCACGGAGGGAGCAGCAGCCCTAGCTCCCACCCTCTGCTTCTGCACTGACGCAAGAACACGCGTGTTCTCATCCTTGTCGCCGCCAGAAACTCCGATCCGCCCGGCTTTGGAGATCCTCCAGCCTGTTAAGTACCACGGGGAAAGGTAGAGTGATGCTCAAGTGTACCACTACGCAAGGGAAGCGCAAAGACGGGAGCATTACCACTAAGGATAATTCAAGCACTGGTAACAGCAATTACACACTAACAATTAGCAGAAGCAGCCCCTGCTGGCATGATAAATTATTTCAGGACTACAGCCTCCATTTTCTGGAAACTTCAAACCCCTCCACGTCCGGTAGCTTAAGAGTGCAGAAGAGGGAGGAGGGGGAAGGTGAAAAGAGGAAATTAAATCTAGTCTCTCTTCTACCTCAGTAAGACCAACTGAGCTGCAGAACAGGAAGATCAAGATGGTCACTGTACTTTATTCACGAGAGAAGCTGATTATTCTGAGAACAGTTGCTGGGGCAACAAAACAAAGAAGTCAACACTGGCACTTGGATGCTGAGCTGTTCTCTTGCCACTTCCGAGGGGAGCAGGGCCGCCCCCGCACAGGGCCAGGCTCTGCGCTGGCCCCGGTTCCAGACAGTGCCGCCTTCCTGCCAGAGCCCGGCTCGGCTCTTCTGCTGCCCAGGCTGCAGCGGGGTCTTTGAGCTCTTCTGTCAGCAGCCCAACATTAAAGGATACAAGGGGCAGCTGCGGCCTCTCAAGCAGTTTCTGCAGTGCACTGTGTGGTAACCAGGGCTCGGCAGAGCCCCCCTTTACCTTCTGGAAAAGATTTGCCTTGAGACAATGGTACACGGAAACTTCAGCTGGAGCTGGAAACAGAAGCGCAAGTGGCTACTACTTGGAAGCAGCAGAGTCTCGCTACAGCATTCCTGGGTGGGGACGAGCAGGTAAGACACAGCACAGGCACGGCTGCGGTAAAGAGACTAGACTAGAAGCTGGAATGGTGGGAGGTGAAAGTTTCCACACCGTGCTGTGAAATGGGACCATTTCCCTCCGATCCCACACCTCCCCAGGACAGGCATGCCCTAGCGGAACTGGAGCGGGCTGATCCGCAGCCCGATGACATCTTTGCCGATCTCCGTCACCTGAGGAATAAAAGGGAGATGATTAATGCTTAAAAGCAACTCAACAGCCCAACCCCGTCTGCAGCGTTCAGAGCCTAGATGGTTCTCGAGAACGCACGCTGCAGTGTCAGTCCCTGAAGGCAGCGTTTCAGCTACGCCGTATTTCACAGTTCCCAAACTGTTCCACCTCACGTGCCAAGTCCTCCGACATTCAACTTGACCCGCAACCCGTGCCAAGTCAGCTTGGGGGGAGCACGGGGAAGCTGCTGAAGCGGATTCTCAAGGGAAACACGGGCTGGGAGCGGGCGGTACCAGACGTTGAGGCTCCCTTACCGTAGTGACGCGGCAGATCTGCCCATGGAACTCAGGGCAGTAGCAGGCTCCGCTCAGCGGACACTTCTCCACGGGTTTGCCACGATAGATGGGGCGGTAAGAGGCGGCACAGATGTCAAAGGGGTTGTGCATGTCATAGTTGAGCTGGTAGGTGTCCGTGGGATTCTTCTCACATGCTGACAAGATCTTGCGAGTCTGCAAAAAGCAACCACGTTGACCAGAGGGAAGCAGCGCAAACAGGGTCTGCCACGGCAGATATTTCTGCCCATGCACCTCACAGACATACCTGCTGGGCCACCTCAGGCTTTGGACCCAGCTCCAGCAGCCGACGGGCAAAAGTAGCAGCTGTCTTGAAGTTTTTGAGTTTGAAAAAGAGGTTGAGAGCAGTACGCAGCACCAAGATCATGTGGACGGGCTGCAGGTTGGAGTGGGTGAAATAGGCAGCCATCTGCATTAGGGAGAAGGAGGGAAAGCAGGGATACAGTCACTACCAACCACGTGAATAACCAGATGCCCTGAAAATCCTGCAAGAAACCCCTCCCAGGTAATCACTGCCACATCTGCTCTACAGGAGGAAATGGCAGAATCCAGGATTCCCAATGCCTTTTTAAACCCAAAGGCTGCTTCTTCCCCCTCATCTCCCTCAGACTGAAGAAATTCACAGAGTTTCTGTACCTCGCAGATTCGCTTCTGCTGCTCCAGGGTCTCTTTGGGCAGCTTCTTCCGCTCAATCTCCATCGAGAGTCCTACAATATACTCCCGGCAAATGGCTATCAGCTGCTGGGCCTTTCAGAGAGGGAGACAGAGTCAGGCGGGCGGCCTCCTGCCCCACAGGCATGCAGCCAACGGACAGAAGAGCCTTCCTCCCACCTCAGCAATCTCCTGCTTGTTGTCCACCACCAGCAAGGGCACGCTGAGCAAGATGGAGCGGAACTTCTCCACAGCCTCCTCAAACTTGCCGGCTGTAGTGAGCTGGTAGCACAGCTGCAGGCGCTGGATCAGGTCGTTGAGTTTCAGTCCAACGGCAGGGAGGGCATTCTTCAAGCCTGCTTCTTTCCTGGGGGCACCAAAGAGGGGGCGGGGGTACAAACAGGGCCACCGCAGAGGCCAGCAGGAACACACACGTTGTTAGCTTGACTGCAACTTATCAGAAATGTTTTGACCTAGGGCCACGCCATCTTTCTTTGCCATTAGTTTAGCACAAAAGACATCTGTGCTTCCATAATTCCGCCACCCACAATGCCCAGCTCTCTCTGCATTAGTGCAGGCTGGGGAGTCTGGCTTATTTTTCTGCAGTGGCTTCCACGCACCGCTGTAAAAACACACCTGTGGTTCTCCAGATGCCTCAGACCAGCTTTGTCAGAGGCAGAGCATTAGTGCTAGAAAAGACAGCATCCCAACTGCCTCACCCTGGTTCTAGTCTCTAAAAGAAAAATAAAAGCAGTTCTTTAACATCTTTACACTAACAGCAGGCAGCAGAAAAATCCCACTGAAGACAGAACGCTCCCTGTGTATATCCAGCAAACAGGAAGGCTCCTCCCTTCCCAACAGAGGGAGGAGACATTTCTGGCTACAGCTGTCACGGAGTCTGCGAGGTACATTGCACGAGGAAAAGAGCACAGAAAAGGAGCTGACCCGATTGCTTACCAGTTGCGATGTGGGTATCCATACATGGTAGGGAGACACGGCAGGGCTTGGTAGGTCGTACGGCCACGGGCATAGGTCTGCAGGAACAGCTGCTTGTAGGGTCCAAAATTTGTTACTCCCACCTGGTCATGGAGGAGCTGAAAAACACATTGATCTGCTGAGTAAAAGCTGTCCAGGGCTGTACAAAGGCCGCACAGACATCACTCAGGCTCACAGCACCTCTGATTTTATACCCAGAGAAAACAACGTACAAAATGATTCAACAAAAGGACACAAAACAAAGCTTCAGACCGGATCAGAGACAAAAAACACCTGGGGACAAGGGCACAATCTTTTCCCTAGAAACTCCAGGGGAAAAACTTACTCTCATTGCTGTCTCAAAGGAGCCTGCCAGAATGTGGTCAACAGGAAGCTGAGAATTGTTACACCACACCTACAAGAATGGAAGGGAAACATACACAAGAGGAACTGTGATACGCTCACATTTGTCTTATCTACCCTCACCACCCCGAACTCCCCTTAACCAAGTTCCTACGCTGTGCTCACAGATGAGTGTTAACAAGAAGGACTGAACCCGAAAAAACAAGCGCCAACGTTTCTGAGAAAGACAATCAAAGACTTGCGCCACTACCTGAGCTGGGCTGGTGCCTTTGGTGGGTGGCACAAAGAATCCATCCTCTGCTGCTCCTGCTGGACCAGCAGGAACATCCTGGGGGAACACACAGAGTAGTGATTAGTGTGGAAGTTTCCGGCACCCAGATGAAATCAGAGCTGGCCACAGCTGTGGTGACCAAGTCTCTGAAAAAGCCCAGAACACATTTCCCCCACCACCACCACCACAAGCTGTCATTGCCTTCCCAACTAACTACAACTGGGCTGCTTAAGACGACTCCCAGAAGCCTCCTACCAGTTCAGGGGGAAGATCCAAATCTTCTTCGACTTCCCATCCGCCTCCTTCTTCCTGTCCTTTACCTAGACCTTCCTCTCCAAAGCCCTCTCCAGCATCCACAAAGCCATCTGCATGGAAGGGGCCGGGGAGAAACAGTCAGAGCTCCTACAGAGGCACACACTTCTGCAAGAAAAACTCTTGGATTCACCCACCTTCATCCAGCTGCAACTCTGCATCTTCTCCCCAGCCTTCGGTGCCAACAGTGTCGATATCAATATCAGCAGCCAAGGCACCCCCTTTGCCTACAAAAAGGGTAGGATCCTTCATTTACTCATCTCTTGAGTGGGTCAGGTGTTAAGCAAAGAATTATGTCAGGCCAGCACCCTCCCCTCCAATCGTCGAGTCCTATCTTGTGCTAAAAGGCCAAAGATTTGAGAGATTTGCCAAAGATGGTGTAAATGCCAAGCTGGATTCCAACCACTGTTAGTAACACACAACAAATCTGAGGTTAAAAGCAACAGTCCAGGAGCCACTGAGACAAATATCTCCATTCTGCATATCTCAGCTGAATGCAGCTTTCCAAGGACAAAGCAATACCTTTGCTAGCAATTGTTCCTTCGAAGAACCCCTTGGAGACAGTCAGCAATGGCCAGTTGGTATCCAGAGGCATGACAGGAGCAGGAGGCTGCAGCAGCTTTGCGTTGTGATCGATGTCTGGAATCTGAGCGGAGAGGAGCAGAAAACAGTTAAAGGCCAAGGAAAATCCCCTTCTTTGACCTACCTGCCTCCAAGCGGCACAGACAGTCTCAAGCCTGATAAG